CCGGGGGGGGGGGGGGGGGGGGGGGTTTTTGTTTTAAAACCCCCCCGGGTGGAGAAAAAAAAAACCCCCTTTTTTTTGGGGGGGGGGGGGGGGGGGTGTACTCATAGTCGTGCACGCCATACAGGAAAGACCATTGACCTCGCATCCCTACAAAGCCGGGACGGAGCACGCCGGGTTCTCACCGGACCAGGCTCTCACATCACCAAGCGCGAAGCGCCGTGAGGTATTTGGCGAGTCGCATGAAGGGTGAGCTGCATCCTGCTAAGGGTGTTCGGCATCTTGTGCTTACTTCCTTGCGTACGGATGACAGCTACGTATGACTTAATTTATTTTCTGGTGCTTTCACTTCCAGAGACAGTTGTAAGCACTGTGTAACTGCCTCGAGGGAGCTTGACCATTTTAACACAACGTGGTGCGATCATCCCCCGTTGCGCGGAGTGAGGTTTCTCCACCCCGCACAACATGATCTGCTCGACCACCATTATGGTTACCGCCAAAAAAAAAAAAAAACGAGGTAAAAAAAAAAACCGGTAACCTGGTTGCCGAGTTCACGAAGTGAATTGGCTTGTTTTACAACGTCGTTGCCAAGCGACGAAAACCCAATCCCGATGGCAAACACCGAGTGGGGGCTTGTTTTACAACGTCGTTGCCAAGCGACGAAAACCCAAACCCCGATGGCAAACACCGGGGGGGGCGGGGAGGGGGGGGTTACTAATGTAAACGCATGCCACGGTCGGTAGACCAAATTGACCTCGCATCCCTGCCATGCCGGGACGGAGGAGGGACATGCCGGGTTTTCGCTGGCCCAGGCCAAGGTTAAAGGATGAACCGGAAGCTGGTCATCTTCCTCGCGTTTGCTGTACCAGACCAGATACGCCATGTGTGGGGGGCATGTTGGGTATCAGATACCCATACGTGTGGCGGTGTTCGACCACGCAATTGGTTTCTGGCGGGACGGGTGATGTATCGAACGCAGCATCGAAAGAAAAGGGCGTGCTATCCATACCCACAAAGCAATGATCACTGGTGGCGGCAGCCTCGGAGCGCCGCCGAAAAGACGCTTCTCGACTGCGGGTCCAGTTTGCAAAAGCGTAGAAATAGCGTGTGTGGGCAAAGCGTAGCACCACCTCCGCGCCCTTCCGGTCTGCAAGAAAAACAGAACCATCGACAAAACCAGCCCCCCGACATACATACCTTTGGAGCGTTCTGCAGGATGACCCACGTGCCGCTGACCATGACTGGCAGCGTCACGATGACCCTCACGACCCTCGCCACCAGGCCCACGAGCTGCGCCGCCCCGAACACGCCTATGCCGGTGAGGGGGAGAAGCTTCGTCAGCGTCGGGACGGCGTTCGACAACGTGAGCGGCGCGCCGTGCAGCTGCCAGACGGCCTCCGCCGCCAGCACGAGGGACGCGAGCGTGCTCGCCGCCATGAAGGCGTTGAAGGCGGCCTTCAACGCGTTCCCCGCCTTCTCGAGCACCGGCTTGCCGCCCTCTTCCCCCCCCCCCTTATTCTTGGTTTCCCGCGAGCCGCCTGGCTCCGGTTCTCTGGATGCTGGTAACCCCCACCCAACCTCCTCTCCTTCTAATTGGTCTTGCCCCGCCGGTGCTGGGGCACTGCTGCTGCTACTTGTTCCCTCCCTAACCGCGGACAACGATGTCAACGAAGGTCTTCGACGCAAACGCCACTCCGTGCCATCGTCCCGACGCCGATACCGTCGATTCCGGTGGCCTTCCGGTCGGCACGCATCGCCGGGGTTGTTACTGCTGTGAAGACGCGCCGCCTGGGGCGGGGTGGGGCAAGCAAGGCTTGCCGACGGGACCAACCGTCTCGGAGATGTGGCGGAAGCGGCGCGACCGCAACACGTCGTCAAAGTCGACGGCTGTCGGAAAGAAGAGGAGACGGCAGGGCTTGGGGGTGCCCCCACAGGATGGAAAGCTGCGCAGAGGAGGAGATACATAAGGGGTTTGGTCGGCACATGAAACGCATGACGAGCGGAGGACTACTTGCCGCCCGCTTCGGGGTGTGTGACGTGGACAGCACATGATGAAGCCCCGACGGCATATGGTAGACAACATACTGCCTCTGTGTTCGTTTCCTGCGTACATGCGTTCCTGCTTTCGTGCGGAGAAACAACGACCGTCAAGGCTTTGAGGAATACCGACACTCGAGAAAGAGCCGGACGTAGTAGACGAGATCGGGAAGGGTCGCAACCAAACGCTGAACAACACGCTGCTGCCCTGTCCTGGTCCTGTCCTGTCATGTCATGATTGATCATCCCTGTGCTGTGTCTTGTCATGATCTGACTCACACAATGTACTGCAACGGCGACGATAGCATCCAACGCCTTTGCACAGATGCACCGACATCTGTAAAAGGCTTCATGGAATAGCAACATCTGTGCTCGTTGAGAGTGAAAGTGAGCACGACACGTATTGGCGGTGCAACTGCTGCTGTGCTATGTCCGCATGCTGCTGCGTGTTCATCTGCTTTTCCTGTTCTCTCCTGAGCTATTCGAACTCACCCCCACACTGACGAAGAAAGCACGTCAAAGCAAGCGCGTGGGCGAGGCGTACCATGCCTCCCAAAGATCCCCAGTCCAGACGGCTACGACGCCACTGCCGCATCAACACAGCCAGAGCCGAGGGTTGACTTGTAATGCAGTGCGCAAAGACACCAACGTACAAAAAGTCAGTACTTGCCAGGGGCCCCGCACATTCATGAACATGTGCGCTCATGGCGCAGCGTCGTGCCCCCTGGTCAAGTACCATGCGTTTGCATTACAGAGTAGGACATATCATACGTAACATGATAACCTGCAGTCGTCCTGCCGATCACAGTACTGTAGTCTTATGCATACAAGCGTTGTTCGTGTAAGTTAGTTTCGACTGCGACAGAAAACAAGGCACGAAGACAAAGAAAAAATGTTTGGAAAGTTCATTTATGGGGTCTTTCAGTCATTTATTGTGTGCTCGTACGATGACCAAAAGATTGCATCTATCTCTGGTCGATCGACCTCGGTCGTGCATAGACAGATATGCATAAAACACTGCAGCACACCCCCACTCGTCATCCCGTGCGCCAGTTGCATCACATGTATGCTCAGGTAATTGTTGGATGGATTGTTGGAATTTAAAAAAACCTAGCTGTCACGCGAGAAAAAAAGAAAATAAATGCATGATTCGTCGTTGGTCATCCTTGATCCCCTCAATTCGAGATAAATAGAAGCATCTCCACTCTCTACCCCAGTCGACTGCAATAAGCAGTACCCTGGCAATCAATGTGTTCGGTTGTGGAAGGAAGCACCAGGAGCGCAAGTGCTTCCTCGCCAACAGGGCTGAATCCACGAAAAAGAACGTCACGGAATGTGAGAAGTTCAGCAAGCCAAGCGCGATGAATCGCTCACAGAGCGCACGACGCCTGCATGCATGCGTGGTGCAAAGGCCTCCAGGTCAACCAGGGAATATTTCTTTTCGGTGTAAGCATTCATTAATCGTCACAAGTTTTATTCTTCTGCTTTTAACAACCAACCGCCACAGCAGTGTTTCTCCTGCTTCATGCCTACACAATCGCTACCGCTGTTACCCTTTCGACAATTGTACCCATGCCCTCTCGAAATCGCAACTCCCCTAGACTCTGCAACCGCAACTACTTACTACAGAACAGGGACAACGTTCGTATGCATACAATCTACATCAGATCGTGACTCGGCCTCTTGCGAGAAGCGAGCGGGCCAATGGACACGCTGGCAACGCAACAGGAAGAACTCCTCAGAAAAAGACCGTTGTGTACATCCTCTCTTTACCAAAACATGACGAAAAAAAAAAGAAACAGTCGGAACCAGACGAGACAAAACTTTCTACACCGCGAGGAAAGCTACATATGTACCATGCAAGTACGTAAGAAACAAAAAACAACACCCAGACGCGATTGAAACAGGAAACACTCACATCACACAATTGCTAATACTACTGTTTTCCCGCTTGACGAAGCCTACGTTGAGGCCTTCGGAAGCCGGATTAACGATCATCATGTCGTCGTCCGAGAGGAGCGACAAAAACCCGTCGTCTTCGTTGCCGTCGCCCTGCTGCCCGTCGCCGCCGGAGAGGATGTCCATCAGCAAGCTGTCGCAAGCGGCGTCGTCGTCCCTGTCGAACTCGACGGCCTGCTGCTGGTGAGGGCCACCGACGGCAAAGCGTGCGCTGTCGCCCAGAGTAGACGAGGAAGAGTACCCGCTCTCCCCGACAACAGCAGCGGCTGGCGAGGGGACGACCACTCCGTCTCGCCCCTCGTCGCAGTCCGACGTCACCTCCATCTTCACGACGTTCGGCAGGTGCTTCAGGGGAACCTCGGAGCCAGCAGGCGAAGGGGACGCAGCAGGGGACGAAGCAGAAGCAGGTGCAGCGGCGGCGGGAGCTCCGTTGGAGGTCGGGAAGGCGACGGCGGGGAAATGATTCTTGGTGGGCTTCAGCTGATTGGCGGACGATGAAGCCAGGGGTTGCCCGGGGTTGGTGGCAGGGACCGCCCCCGCGGTGGCGGCGGCGGCGGCGGCGATCGGCGTAGAGGTCGTCGCCGAGGTTGGGGCGGGGCGCGGTGATGAAGATGACGCGCTGCGGCGGCCGGCGGTGCTGCGCAGGCTCCGGCGGAGCCCGGCGCCGTTGTTGCCGGTGGCGTTGGTGGTGGTGCTTGTGGCGGCCGTGGGGCCGTGAGCTGCTGTCTCCACAGCAGGGAGACTTCGTTAAAAGTTTGTTTGGCGTACGAAAGACCGTCCACGAAGGGAATCGGCCAACGATGCCTTAAATGATTGCGTCTTGCAAAAGGTGTCATCTCATTTCTTGACTCTCTCGCACCCCCCGTTTTCAAAACTCCTGCCCCCTTTCTCCAACCGCTTCTTACTCCCTCCCAATCAAGGGAGACAGCAAGACGCAGCCAAGACAAAAAGAGGGTGAATTTTAACAGGAATACAGTTTCGAAATTAGTGGGGGGTGGAGTTGGAACAGAAAAAAAGAAGACACCTCAGAACTGCAAGACGCGATCGGCGAATGCTGCTGACTCGCGAGAGTTTAAGCAGCTCACTGGTTTGCCACAGTTGACGCCACCACCGGTGAACCTGCTACCGCCGCCGCCGCCGCTGTTCCTGTCGCGCCCGCCGAACGCCGCCGCCGCTGCCCCCCCAGACACTCGACTTCTTCCCGCTGCCGGTCCCGCCGCCGGACCCTCGTTGTTGCCACTGCTGCCGTTCCTGCCTCCCCCCGACGGTGTTGCCCTTGGCGCTCCAGAGCGAGGCGTCGTCGCCGTCTGCCTGGCGTACTTGTACCTCGCCTGCTGGGGAGAGGCCTCGTACTTGGCGAGACGGTGTCGGAGCCCCCTGTTTTCTTCCGCGAGCCTGGCAACCTGGATTTTTCCACCAGTTCAGGAACGCACGCAAAAGAATTTCATCGCGGCCGCAGCAAACGAGGAGTAGAGGGAAGGGGCGCACGAGCTGATTCAGGATCTCTTGTTGCGGTTGGTTTCGTGAGTGGGTCGGGGGACGGGGGTATGCATACCAGGGAAGGCGGAGAAGGGCAACCACGGTGAAACGTGCGTTTCTAATGTTCATCTCTCGAAGGTTGAATTGTACCAAGAGCGCTTGTCCCTCTCTACTTTCGAGACACAGCCGAAAACCAGAATTTGTGACCGGTGCGCACGACGATCCAGGGGGTCTCTCTGCACGAATATAGACCCAGAGGGAATTTGGGTCTCTAACATCGCTTTTTATGGGAGCACAATGTTGCAAAAAAAGCTGCATTTCTGCAACTTTTGTTGCAGCTTTGCCTATGTACGCTCAGTATAGGAGATTGAAGTTGCACGAAAAGTTGTCCAACTTTTTTTCCGGAGCGAAAAGCTGCAATCTGGCCGAAATGTTTTGCAGCTTTTCTCGAGTCGGGAAGGGGCGAGAAAAGCTGCACGGCGGAAATTATACCAGTTCACGTCAAGCTGCTACCTACCGCACACGAACACCCTCTCCAGCATCGATTGTGGGGAGTGATCACCGATATCTCGACGAATACTTAACGAGTTGCCTCATAAATGGTATCTGGAAGGAGGTGATACCATGGGCTGTTAAGAAATGCCAAGGTTTGGGCCCGTGAGTTGCTGAATGCGCCGGGGGGAAAAAAATGTGCTGTGCACAACCGTCAACGGCCGCGAGCGATTAGTTGAAGTTCGATGCTTTTGACCGCCACGGGTTTGGCTATCCACCGATAACTTTTCGAAGAAGAAGCAACAGCAATAGCAATCGGTGGGAGGTAGCTCTCTGCTCCATCTTTCATGCCCAAGGTTTGGTGCCGTGGGGTATCGTGCGCATCGGGAAAAAAGCTTTGATCGACCTCAAAGTACCCACGTCAGAGACCGGTTGGTTCAAGTTCGCAGGGATTATGTGCGCATCGTTTGGTTTTCAAGCGATAATTTTTCGAACGAGCAAGGCAACAGCAACAGCAATGCCACCCCGAGGGAGCTGACTCTACCCAGCATCTTTCTGGTACCAGGTTAGATGCCTTGAGGTATCGTGGGTGTGGAGAAAAAGGTTGCAACTACCCTCTCCCACACGCTCTGACCGGTTTTTTGGCTGTGCAACATGAATGAAAGGCGCGTGCCTTCTTCTCGCCGTTGTGAACAAAAAAGATCACGCCTCCGCATTCTGCCCAGTCCCGTGCACAACACTTTCTTTGTCTCATAAAGAGCGTGCATCAAAAGTTTGCAGCTTTTCTTGCAACATTGTGTTGCCATAAAAAGCGGTGTAATCTTTTCCGAGCAGTTGTTTGGCGGGTCTTCATTATCCCACCATTTAACATAATCTACATGAAATAATTACCCGTTCGAGATTTACATAAGCCACGGCAGTCGTTCATCTACATCTTTAGGAGTTAGCGCCGGCGAACACCCCTCGGTACTTGTATAGTTGACGTATCAGTGAGAGTCACACCGGAGGTATGTAGGTACTATGCAGCAAGGTGCCCAGCAGGGATACCAGCTGGCGGAAAACAGCTATGTGCTTCGATTCCCAAAGGCGGTGAGGGAACGTATGGACTTGTACGTACACTCTGTACACGGCACTTTTGCTGCCGATAATTCTATCGATCAACCAGGGACACCCTAATTTATGGGCCAAGGGCGACTGGCGTTCGACAGACATGATGACTACGATGTACCCCGCAAATATGGTGTGCAACAAGCGAGAAGCACCGTTTGCATAATGTGTATGTGCCCCATCCACAGCACTATCGCAACACAGCAGCAACTGTTGGGGGGCTTTCACCCGTACATGACGACGTCTCTCGAGTCAGCTTCAAAGATCCATCCACTCTGTCACACGGCAGTGTCAAGTTTGAGGCACCACACAAGGCCAAACGTGTTGACAGATAGCATCACAGCGCCTGCCCCATGCATGTACCTTGCACACTAAGCCAGGTTCGAGGCACGTTCGATCGCGTAATGGAAACACGACAAAGCTTGTAACGTCCAAATGAACACATGCCTGGTCTCTTGTGTGCATATGAAGGGCTGAAGGCGAACATCTGGTAACCGTTCCAACGTGGAACGAACCCTAAAAGGAATCTCGCGGGCGCGCATTTGCTTTGCCCAGGGCGGCACAATGTGACTAGGGTGACACCTCATCAACACCACGCGCGCGTTTTGCTGGGATGGACACGACAATTCCTACAGCCAGTTAACGTTGCGCGCTCGTGAATGTGTTTGCGCGCGTCTCGCAAACCACTGTTGTAACGGCTGCTGTGTGTGACGTACTTCCTTGCAGATCGGGGCATCACTTGGATTGAAATTTCCCATATACCTACTCTACGAACCAGTATGATTGATGAAAAAAGAGAGCTAGATTCCTCACCTGCTCTTCCAACGACTCGATCTTATCCCGCTTTCTCTTGCGCGAGAGCGCCGCCGACTCCCTGTTTCGGATCATCCGCTGCTGCTTCTTCCACGCCTGCTTGTCCACGCCCGGCGCCAGAAGCGCCTCTGCTTGCAGCATGGCAAGATCTGGCTTCACGTCCTCCTCTTCCTCCTCCTGAAAGACACCACGAAAAAAAAAAGACGGAACCAAAAAGTGTACACGCCCGCGTCGAATTTGGGAAGGCAGTCGTGAGCAGCTTGTTAATGCAGACGTGCTCCTTCTATACAAACACGAGCGCGTGGCAATACGATGTGAAGAGTATGGAATAGGTACGCCTGTTATCACTGCGATCAGCAATCCTCAAAGAAACAGCCTGCACGGGAACAACTCTCCGAGCTCGTGATGGCTGGTGCTGCTGCGTCATCCCGAAAAAAAACTGCCCGTAGGCAACAACAACAGGTCGCACTTTCTAAAAAAACGTGAAAAAAAAGGACAAAAAAACGGCTCGAAAGGCCGCGGGCACGAGCCACGCCACGCCCCACGTTAATGTGTGCATTTCTCCCTCGCTCTTCTTTTCATCGATGACATGGTCTCACCTCGTCTTCCGAGTCCTCCGCGCTGGTGTACACCTGCTGCTGGATCCTCACAGCATTGCGAGATCTCGTTTGCCTCAGCTTGAGGGCCCGAGAGCGCCGCCTCTCGCCCGCCGTCATCGTCGTCTCGCCCGCCTTGTCGTCCGCGACGGCGGCGGGACGAACCACCGCCGGCTCCTCGACGGCCGCTTTCGTCGGTTGGGGATCCGGCACCTCTCGGAGCGAGTGGTCCAGAGACATGGGGCTGCCGCCGCCGCTGCCGCCACTGCTACCCCGGCCGCCGCCGCCGCCGCCGCCGCAGGAGGGGGCCATGTCGTGAGGTGCCATATCTAAGATTCCAAGCAAGATTCCCAGTTTGCCCGTGTCTTGCTCGAGACGCATGTCCACGACGTGGGCACAAGCGGTGATCTCGTTACCCCCTTGCTATGCCCTTTGACGTGCGCGTTGTGTTGGGACCCAAGAGCAGAGGCAGCGCGAGTGATTCGGGCAGTCGGGCAGCCGTGAACTTCAAGGGCAGAAAAATGTGACCTGGAAACCCCGGGGACGAAAGGGGCGACGCAGATTCATTAACCCTGCCACCAGATTTCTGCGCTGCCTCCAAGGCGGCCAGCTAGCCAGTGCCAGCACAGGCCACTGCCAGCACACAGCAGTCCACATCTCCTGCCTGTGTTGTCTCTCCAAGAGCGAATATAACCTACAGTTGGGAAAGATGGGAGTCTCTCGCCGTTGCAGCGCACTGGCAGCATTCGTGGCCCTCGCTGCTGTGTCTTCCGAGTGCCAGGCGTTCATCAATTGCTTTCTGCGAGCGGGGGAGCGAACACCGCCATCAGAAGCAACCACTTCAACGACGAGCTTCAGGCACAGCAGCAGCGGGTGGTGCCGAATGGCAAGGGCGAAGGACTGTGGGGCATTGTTGATGTCAGAAGTGGCGGAAGACTACCCTTCAGACACGGGAGATGACAGATTCGCTGGGGGGGGTAAGCCGCGGCAGTTTGAACTTCCATGCGTGATAGCTGGACTCAGCGAGACTCAGTAGCAGACTGCCGAGTACTCCGTCTACAGACTTCGGACGGCAGCATCCGACACGCCCTCCCTCCACTTTCTCTGTGTGTCACCACACAATATTAGTGCTCACATGACTGCTTACCAAGCGTCCCCCGCCGTAGGATTGTAGGCAAACGTGTGTGTTGGACGAATGCAAGAAGTCATGCTGTGGGAAACATGAACGCACCGCCGTTCTGGGGGAAGTGGAAAAAAACATGACACCGCTTTTCACCTCTATTTGTACAATATCTACAACTCACCCGGGCCGTCGTGCGCTGGCAAACAGGAAAAAGCGAAAACAGCGGTTCATATGTGTAGACGAACATTTAAGTATCCGACGCGATCTCAGTAGAAACCCTGGCCATGCCCGCGACTTGCACCAAGTACTGCTTTGCGGGCACTCAACGCAGGGGGGCAGACCTGCTCAAATGGCCTGCGGCACACCCCGACGATTCGCCTCGTGCGAACACAGGACACACCAATTACCGCGTCATCCATGGAACGCCATAGCTATTCCCACGATGTACAAGTCTAACATGAAACCCGAACACCTCTCGTTACCTTCTCACGCCAGAGCACCGCGGCGTGGCGGCAATCGGGAAGCGTGTTGACCCGCGTTGTACATTTTTTTTGTCGGGGGCAAGGTCAGCAAACAATTCAGTGTAGTTGTACTTGGCTTGAACAAACTCAAAATATGCCCACAGCCGGTTTCCCCCCACTCTCTGATAATACTTCAGCACATCCCTTTCGACTGTGGTTATATCTCGAGCGGGTAGTCTTTCTGTGAGGTTATGTATACTTTCTAAATGAACAACAGGTTCACGAACATTCGCGATGGTTGGCGTCATTCCTGATCACACACTGCCTGTCCAATGCCAGCGCTACCATCGCTGTTGCCCGCTTCGCCCCCTCGGCTGCTCGGTCTTTGGCCGATTGGCGTTTGCCCAAATCTTACGATTCTGTCCGATGTTTCAAATTCTGCCGCCGCTCCGCACGTTTTGCCGAACCTTTTCTGTTGCCTTCGAAGCCGGAACGGCCGAACAAGAAAGGTTAGCCTTCACCGAGAAGGACACGCCGGAGGTCGCCCAGCTCAAGCTCGACCTTCTGCGCATCGCTGCTCTCACCGGCAGGTAGTGGAGGTGCTGCGGGGGAATAGGCAAACGTATCGGAGCAAATGGGAGGAAAGGGAGAGTATGGAGGGCCCCAACAACATTAACAACGTGCCTTGTGTGTGCCGCCCGGTCTTGATGGGTTGATTTTTCTGGGGTGTACCATGTTCGTGTTCCTCCGCCGCCCGATCCCCCGGGGCTACATACTCCCTGGCTAAAGACCAACTTCATGCTAGGAGCCTGTGTAGAGTTGTACGCGGCTGTGTGTGCCGGAAATGACTAGGTCATGTAGTATGCATCTAAAAATATCGCCTGCTGTTTCTACTGCTGCTGGTGCGTGCTGTGTTCCTGCACGTTTTGACGGCGTGTCGTGCACCACCGGCGTTGACCAATCGCGGAGGCGTAGCCTCGCAATGCCCTTCTGGTGCTGTAGAAGCCGAGGTGGTGTGCGTGCTCCGCACGCACCGGCTTAGCGAGAGGGGCGGTTGACGACGAGCGTGGAAAGTCGGGGGTGCGGGCACCCTCGGTGAGACTCCTTGCGTCGCCATCGGAACGTGCTTTCCATGAATTCGCGTTTTTTGTGCTGTTTGTGCTCTTCAACCCTGTTTTTGGTGGCCAAGCCTCCACCACCACCACCACCACCGACCACCCGCCCCGCCCACGTTGCGCGCCATCACGAAACATCTCAAGCTCACCAAAACGCGCGCTTGAACGCATGCTTGGTAAGAACAGGGGTCAGTTGGCCACGCCGGCAGAACGTGGGCGCGTGGAGGACGTCATCTGGGAGCTGGAGATGCGGACGCCAGTGGAGGACACGGCCACGAGCACGGCGTTGCTGGGGAGATGGGCTCTAGTGTACGCCAGCGAGGACGCCACTCGATCCAGCCCTTTCTTTTGGGCGTTCAGGTAGCTCCCGTGTTCTGTTTCCTGTTGTGCGTGCCGTGTGCTATGCTTTTTGGGTGTTTTCGACGCGAGTGATGTCCCTGTCCTCATCCCTCTGTTTGTTGAGTCCTTGTGTCACGTCCACTCTCATTGGAGCTTGTATTGTATTCTGCGCTTCTTCGGGTCGTATGATGCATGGCGAAACACAAAAAACAATCAACGCCAAATTGCAAAATACACCCAACACGTCGTGTAGAGGGATCCCCGAAAAGGCCAACCGGTGATGAGATGCAGCAAGCAAGATTTGCAATCAATTTGGTCCTGCCATACAGTAGTAAAGATCAACTGCATCATGAAAAGCGTCTTGGGAGATAGGATGTCGGAATAATTGTCCTTTTTTTTCCAAATCGGAAAAATCTCAATGTTACCCGCAGTTTCCGACCAGGTCAAGAAACTCACTGCCCAATCGCGCAACGAAAAAACGTGTACCGTATTCCAGGAAAGCGACTGAGGGGATTAAGCCTCCCTTCGGAGGGGGCGGCGACGGGGACAGCTTCGACGGCTCCACGGTCGCGGCCACGATCTTCGCCATCACCGACAGCCTCCCGGGCAAGAGCGTTGGCGAGGCGGTCCAGACCATCACGGAGAAAGAGATCAAGTCGGAGGTAGAGGTGAGCAAACAACCAACTCTGCCTTCTGAAAGTGTGTACGCCGGGATGCCGAGGACATCAGTTTTCGCATGTCTTGCTCGACGAAAGACGGAGCTGTACAGCTGTAGCAGGAGCAGGAAGTGGTAGCATTTGCGGTCAAGCGTGCTTCCTGGAGGGGTCAAATGCCCGGCGGTGGCGCGAGCGATCCAGAGTTTGAGAGATAGCGCTGGAGATCCCTGCATGAGGTCTGTGAAGCAACTCTGGTCGGTTATGGTGCCGGTTCGGGTGGTTCGTCGGTGTAGCAGCAGTCGATCCAAGCAGCGACGACGAACGGGGGCAAATCTTAATCTTCTCAGCAGGCAATGATAAAGATGACACGACCACGGATGTGTCTTCCTCATTTGTTTAGGTCACGGGGGTGGTGCGTAAGGGTATTTGGAGGGAAGTCACAACGCTTGTGTCAAGACCACAACAAGAACATCGCGCGTGCCTGTGTTGTTTGTGTTCCGTTAATGACGGCATAGATTTTTGCGGGGGCTAGCGCGGGTTCGGACAAGAGAGGGAAAGAGGGCCCGAACACGTTCCCGTCGTTCCGCAGCGTGATGACCACGACGTCGGAGATCACGGACGCTGCGGGCACGGAGACGAAGCTCAGGGTAGCCAAGACTCAGGTTCGTCAGTTGGTTGGCTGATAGCCGGGTCTCGTCTTGCAGTCGTACTGTGCTTGTCGTGTGATTGTTGTTGTTGCTGGTGCTGCACTGTTGGTGTCGCTATATCGCGACATTTTCTTCTGTCAAAACAACGACAGCTGCTGCAGATAGTGCTGTCGCTGTCGCTGATTCGTTGTTGTTGATGCTGCTGTCGCTGTTGCCGCCCCAAGGCTGCCCTTGCCATTTTCGTGTTTTGGGCGATCATCGACCCAGTTCGAACCTTTGTTTATTTTCGTGGTGGGCTGTTTTAGGTGCGAAAAAGCGCTCTCGGGCGGTTGCTGAAGCCGCTGTTCAACCTGGACAACATAGAATTCCAGACGGACAACTTGCTCACCCCACTCAAGGAGGGTTCCACCGAGGTATGTACAAGCATACGGTATTTAGTGTTCGGACCGATGGTGGTGTGTGGTTGTTTTTTTTATGGTGGCGATGCTGCGCTTGCTCCCTCGATTTTTTTACTTTGACTTGAGCTCCTTATCGAAACGGCGGTCCTAAATACGTGCTTCGTCTCACGACACACACGAATCCGTTTCACGGCTTGAAAGGCTCTTGGATGCTTGTTGGTTATTGCCTGTCTGCTGAAGAACCGATAAGCTGTAAATATAATCTCGCAGTGGGAATTACCTGCCGTACCGAATATGCGCGCGAAATGACTCATAAAATATGGAGATTTCGATTTGTCATGAAATATACAACGGACGGTCGGATAGTGGTGCTGAGTGTGCTAAATCCGCCGCTCTGATGCTCGGCGCCCGAACCTACACGCACTTACCTAGCAGGCAGCCCTGCGACTGCACAGGCACACAGCGTGCTGGTACAGTACTACCCACCCTTGCATCTCGCGTCCGCACCGTTCCGTGCGGCATGTTGATAAATCGATATATGTACGATCGAAGCGTGTACAGTCCCTTTCGCATGCTTGGTTTCGGCACGTCGCATATTGCATAAGGTGCTTATTCTGGACGCAAAAGAGTATCGAGTTCTCGATGACCGTTTATTGGTAATGGTGACAATCCTTTCCTGCCGCCGCCGTTTTGCATGGTGGTTTGTAACACTGCTATCGTTTTTTCTGCTTTCATCAAGGTGTCGATGACCACGACGTACTTGGACGGGCTCCTCCGTGTGAGCCGCAACGAGCAAGGGCAGGTGTTCGTGTTTGCGAGGGAAGACGACGGGGAGTTGCGATGAGAGAGAGAGGGCGTTTCGCTGTCGACGAAGAGGGTCCCCAGACTTCCTTGGCATCGTGTGCTGTGTTTCGCGGTGCTCGCGGTGGAGGGGGGGTCGTAGGGGTCGTAGTTGTGTTTCTCTTTTGGCTGCTGAGAGAAGCAGCTGGATAACAATACGGGGTTTCCTTGCGAGGACGAATAAGGTTCGTTTCTATCCCCGCTCCCCCCGCCCCCGCCCCTTGCCGCCATCAGTTTCGGCAGGGGGGCGGTGGGGCAAGCTTGCTATTAATCGCGGCGATTGAGGCCACCATGTCTGTTTTTTCCCGAGAAGACGATAGTGTGCTTGTAGTAAAGATAGTACATTTCTACCGGATACCAGAATACGCCACCAGAGCTGCTGCTACCCATGACAAAGCACGGGGAGTGGTTTACGATGCCCTGTCGTGGTGCCCAACCTGGGGTAGAGGGGATTGGTCGGCGACGAGGCCGTAGCGTTATCCGTCTGTATGACTCAACACCAATGGTCACAATTCCTTGCTGATGACATCCCTTGTTGTCAAAACTCTCCTTGGTTACCGTGACACCCGCGTCGGGCTTGCCGCTGCAGTTTTCACATTTGCCAGCACCTCTTCTGTCTGAAGTAGACATGTCTCCTCGGTGTTGGTTGCGCAGTTCTACGGGGGCCTACGCCCGCTTGACACGAAAGAAAGTTTTTGTGAGGAAAATGGCGGTTCTCTTCACTGCTGTCTCACCGGCAACATTGCGAAAATATCATCCCATGTGGAGTGTTGGTGGCTTCTGAATGGGCTCAATCGCATCGTGGTAATTTTGCATTGCAGGGTTTCGTCAACGTGCTGAGCGTAACGCCGGTGTGTCCTCGAAAACAAGTTGTTGTCGGTCTTAACGACGCTCTCTCCGCCTCCCTCTCGAAATCACGATCTTCTGGTTGGAAGCCTTGCCCTTCGCTTGCCTCGACATACTTCAATCTTGTTTATTGCGAACGTGTCGGGGAAGCGGGAGAGCGGGGTCACTGGCTTAAGATTGTTGTTTGACTCGAGGACAACTTGGACATAACGGCATGGGGCCGCATGGGATTATACTACATGCAGTCAGCAAGAACGCCCGTCTCTCCCATTTTTGTAGAGGGCTTCATACCGTGTATCGGCAACGGCAGTGAATCGCATGGCCTTTCAAAGGGCTTGGCTGTTGTGGTTTTTACAATCACGAGAAATGCACCTTCGCCCAGAAACCAGACCTTGTCCGATCTCAAGCTGCAGGCATGATGTTGAGGACTGACTGTGATTGCTGTTTATGTGTGATCTTCAGATCCTGTATCATATTGTCGAAGAGTGCCACTCTCTCTCCAAGGCATCCTCCTCTCTCAATATATTTTTTGGTGAAGACACAAAATCATTCCGCCAAATATAGAACACACATGACATTGACTACACAACAAAATAATCCAGGATCATTTGAATGATTAAGGAATAATAAAAACACACACAGAAAGACTACCCATTCGATGATACGGCCATGAGAGAGTGCTGAATCACTGGCGGCAAAACAAACTCTCAACAAACCGAAAGATCGCAGTGCCAACAACATAGAATTGCGGAGGAAGGTATAGACTTTCGTTCTGCGCGGCCGACCGCCGTCAAGAACCCACGAGTCTACACGCAGCAGCAGGAGTTTGGACTATTCAAAACCTCGAAGCAACTAATTGTACGTTGCTCAAGCACCGCTTGAAAACCAGAACATGCATCTGAAATGTGAGCTAGACTTTGCTGTCGTTTCGGGTCATATATAACTCAAAAGAGCCGGCCAAATGGAAGAGGCCGTTGAAAAAAAGAAAAAGTACCCCAAGTGAGTATCGTTCGCACCCAGACGCCATTGTTACCCTGACCGCGCTTCACAGCCATCTCGCTGCACACGCTGGTGTGACTCACCAATTCTTTGGAGACTTGTCGTTCAGGCCAACAACGTGATCTCCCGGCTCCTCTTCTTTGTGCCAAAGCAAGGCTAGCCTACGTGTGCTCCGTTTCCAGCCAGACTGGTTAGTCTACGGGCAAGAAACACCACCGGCATCTCATTACAGCGCGACCCAGTCAGTATTTGTTTTCTCCCACAACTGACACCACGTCTTCCTGAAGCGAGATACTTCTCGACAGCTCCACCGGACCAACATGGTGAGAGGTAATCTGTGACTGAGGCTTAGGTCGTAGCCTGTCACGTACGTACGTACGTACATCGTCGTGTAGTTGTCGCAAGATCAAGAGGTGGAAACGAAGTATGAAAATATTCGTATTCTTGTAGCGTGGTTCTCCTATCTATGCATGCCACAGCTGCTACATAGTATCGTTCGGGTTTGACACCAAACACTAGCTCCCCATATGGCGCACGAACCAGGCCAGGGATAGGAAATTCAGCAACGGCGGCTCACATTCGACACCAACTGCATGGTCGAGACCAGGGACGGGCTAGACATTTAGCCGCACAACCACCACAAGTCACTCAGGCCTCGTGCTCGCCGTGGAAACGTCCAATATCAACACTCTAACTCCCATAGACCAGACTAGCGGGCCAAACGCCGAACGAACCTACAGCACAAACGTTTTGGTGAGCTTCGTCAACCAAGCGCACCCGGTTCGCGCGAGCTGCTTTGTTCATACATCTGGAGAGCTCGAGTCCTTTACGCTTATCTACATCTCGAGATGCTGTTGCCACACGGAAATCATTTTGATCGAAGTGTCCCTGAAGGCCAAGTAAACCACGTACTGCTGTACGGTAGTGCGGGCCGTTAAGAAACCGAAGTTATCTCTATTCGATTAAGAAACGAGGGCTCCGATTTCCACGAAGAATGCAATGAAGTAATATATCGACGGGTTAGGACTACAGCCCAGCCGAGGACCCTACACGAAGTAACCCAACAATATCTTGTACTCGACGGTGGCGACGAAAAACAAATTAAATGTTGCCTCGACCCGAGTTGTTTGACGTTTCTTATCGTCGGGCCCGCACTGCGTTGTGTAGCAATAGTAGTTGTGGAATAAACATGCCGTGGATCGGGCCTTCGTGATATGCGCTTGATCTATGTATGCAAACAACATCACTCATGCCGATTGCGCCCAACGGCGTTTGTCTGGTGTTCTTGCCTTGTTCAGTCCGTCGTTGTCGAGGTGCTGCTCTTGTACGGCGCGGCGCTATCGGCAGTGAAGGCGTTCTTCCCAAGGTGCGACCGCGAATGTTCGGTTTGATCACTGTTTGAGTCATTACGTGAAAAAATACCGGTGACACACAGACATTGCTCGATCTCCGCCCACCAAACAATTTGTTGCGTTTTTATGTACATGTAGTTTAACCTTGGGATATTATATTGAGTTCTAGAAGGACACGTAACAAGTGGGAAAATGCATTGACATCACACAGAAAGCCCATATGGACCACCTATTCGAGAAAGCTCCAACCGATACTTGTGTACCCACCAAACACCACGTTGTTGCGTTTCACCTTAATATGTAGTAGGGGCACCGACCAGGGATAAATCTCGCTCAAAGTACATACCAAGACCGTGAACTCTACACAACCACCGGGTCATTTGTGGCATCGTCCGATCGAAAAATGAAAGCTTTTCCCGGTCCTACTTGGAATCACTGCCCGATTCGGATGGCCAACGTGCACGCTCTTGTCATAGACGTCCCGCTGAACCCTCTGCCTGTCACACGCAACTCACCGCCGAGCGTCGGCAGAAATGTGTGGCCATCCACACAAATGCCAGGTTTATTTCCACCAAACATGCTCCCTGTCCCCCATCTTGTCGACAGGAGTCCGTCGGACGAGAACATCCATCGAAAGACCACGCGGCCAAGACCGAGAAGCGTCGTCAATCGGCAGGAACGGGCCTTGGTTGTCTGGAATCCACCGGCCAACGCCGCAGTCGTTGGCGCGGAATCCCACGCTCTGCCCCCTGCTCGAGAAACAGCACTTGTTGTATGGTCGCCACCAACTGATCTCATGTTCCCTCTCGGTGCCGGCACTTCTCGGTACCTCCGCACGTTGGTGTTTCCTTCGAGCGGTGCCGCAAACCCTTTCCCCCGGCAAACGCCGATCTCGGAAATCACTGGTCTTAGGATGGCCACCCACGCCCACCGGCCCACGCCCGCAGTACTCCTGCTCGGCGCGTCGCAGCCGTTCCCGTGGTGCCCGGTGCGCCTCGCCACCGAGAGGTGCCCCCTGCCTATCGCGCCGGCGAACAGCGCAAGCTGCGGCGAAGAAGACAAAGAGCTTCCGACGGCAGCGGCGCAGCCCGTCACCGGTGCCAGCATCGTCGCCAACGTGGTCGGTCAGCTGGGTATCGACCTCGTTTTCCCGGCGGTAGGCATCGCGGTGTCTGCGCGTGCTGGACGACGAGCTGCGGCATTTTCTTCTTCGGTGTTCCGTTCTCTCGAGAACAGCCGATGCGATGCCACGGCAGCCGTCGCCGGGCAACAGCCGCACCACTCGAGCACGGGGAGCAGGGGACGGACATCGGCAACGGGAGAGCGAAGAACGAGGAAATCCTCGCGCTCTCGGTCGCCTTCACTGCCCCCGCGATCACGAGGCCGGCCGCAATCTCCCTTGCGATCCGTATCTCCCGCCCCGCGTCCGGTGGCGGTAGGAGTCTTCCCCTACCGACCGGTCGCGCCGTCTAGCCCTTTGGCGATGGAGGTCAGTCCTGAAGTATCGCTGGTGAAATCCGCGCTACATAGCGTGTCATACCCGCGGTACGTAGTCGTACAATAGTGTTGTTCGGTGTACAATGTACCGAGAGAAAACCCTCTACCAGCCAGGGCTGTAGCAGCACCTCGCCTGACGCACGTTTGAGCCTGTTGTGAGACTGTGCAACATTATCCTCGGGTTTTCGCTGACCGTTCTCAAACTGATCGAAACGAGCAGGCTTCATATGCCGCCGAGAGACCCGCCGAGTGGAAGGTGTGGTAGAGTTGACGATGTACACCACCTTACACCCGCTAGTTTGCCACATAATGCACCAGCTACAGTAGAACATCGCCCACACATTTGTCCCTGTCCACTCCGCCTCCGTTTTCTCCCGTCTGGATCAGAACTCTGCTGTGGACGACGACCTCTGCGCGGTTTCTGCGATGACGACGTCTCCCCTCATTTCCGCCCTCAGCTACCTGGCCTGCTGCTACTGGTGGTGACACCTTTTCGACTTGGTGGGGGAGCTTCTCGAAGAAGAAGAAGGTGGGTCAAGGAAAGAGGTGACACATTGACACGTTTTTTACCGATTGTGGTACAGGTTGTGGTCGTGACTTCCCCATCCCGGGTTGTCACCAGTTCCGTGCGTACCATTTGATTCAAGGTATTGTACAGTACTACGCTAGACTTGCCGAGTAGAAGCTATAGACCGATCTCCTGCTTCACTCGCCACGTGCACCCCGCCGTCGAATCACCGCCTCCACGAGCAGGTGTCACCCGCAACTCGCCCCTCGACGACGCACGTGCGGGAAGCCCCGTTCAAAATCGACACTTCCTACAGGGCGAACTTCGCCAAGATCAAGGCGGGCATGTTCAATGACAACCATTCCGCTTGCTTCTCCCGCTCATTCGGACACGGCTTTGGTGCTGCTCGTGGCACCGGAGCAGCTGCTGCACGCACAAGCGCTTCTCCGAAGAAGGAGAGCAAAAATATTAATAACATGCACAAGAGATAGCTGCTCGTGTTGGGTAGGCAGAATTTCGATTTCCTCCGTACAATAGTAGTAGAGACCTCCCGGTGAAGTTTGTGGGTGAGGACGTACGTGCGTCGAATAGCTACCGTCGGTACGAGTATTACTTTACGCACTACGCTGCCACGGACGATAGCCGTCAGCACCAATCGTACGATGGGCAGTGGGGATTGGGTCGGTCCTCCTGAAGGTCATCCATCGCCAAGCTTTCGTATGTACCTAGGGGTCATGTGTGTGGTTGTGACAACATTGCATGGAAATATTCTGAGTGGCGCCGGCCGGTATCGCTGACCCCTTCAGCGTGTGTAAGATTGGACGCATCATAGACGAAATATGTCCAGTAGAAAGCTAGTTTTTCTCGACATTCACCCTCAAAACGGTAGCAGTGGGTATTAACTGAGAATATTCGTAGACCTGGTAGACTACTTCTGCTGTAGATAGTATTAGGGACATGGTGCCAGGGGATGCGAACGTACAATTTATGGTGGTCGTAAGGAGAGAGTCGAGGTGGACACTACTTTCAAGAGCTTATATGTGGGCGGCGGGATTTGTAGCGCCGAAGAGCCTTGATTCCAGAATACCGCCGAGGTGTGTGCGTGATCGCACGCCGGCTTTGGCGTGTGAGACGACGCTTTGCGCCAACACGTGTTAGCCGCCTCTCCATATAGATCCCTTGATGTGACGATTTGCTGTTTACAGTATGTCTGCTATGCAACGTGGACCGTAGCAGGACTGGTGGCGCCACAAATGACAATCGAGAAAGCAAAGAGAGGCGCCACAAGTGACAATCGAGAAAGCGAAGAGAGGCAAGTCGAGGCCCATGTTAGCAATGCCACGTCGTCGACGGACACGAAGAAGCGTGTGCGGTAGTGTGCGACCGCAGATAAGAAACGCCAGTCGGCGTCCAGGCGCGGTGGTGTTTGGTTTTGGCGAAACATCAGCGTGTAGCCCTCTTCCTTCCTGAATGAAGTTTGTCGTTATTGGCCTATCGGGTGTATCGGGGGCTATTTTCTTGCAAATATATGCCTCGTTTTGTTTTATGGATTTTTTGCCTCTGGGCCTCGTCACGCACGCTCTTCGTTGTGTTGTCGAACCACGTTTGCTCTGGGATATTGTGAAAACTATGGCTTGGTAGCTGTGTGAAAATTCCCCGGCCTACGAACAGTGAACAACCGCTCAGCTCCAGATGATCTTCCCTTGATGCCGAGGCGACGCAAAGTCAAAACCGATACCAGCACCCCCACCTTCTTGAAAAGTACATTGTCTGATCCCGGGGTGACGTAATATAACAGACGGAAATCTTTGTAGGTTTACAACGACGGAGGGCAGACGCGATTCCTCACTCTCCCCAGCCAACGCCCCTGGTTGGACGTTTTCGGACATTGGTTGCGTACCTTGCCGCTCAGAGTTCTTGTGCTTGTCGTTCTCTCTTTTGCTGTTGTGCATTCTGAACGTCACGTTATTGTTCACAAGATAATCGCTATCGCGACTAACGATTTTGCATATCACGGCCGCCGCATCCTCCAAGCACCGTTTAACGGACACCACATACAAACATACATGGTCTCTTCGGACGCAAGGGTCAAAAAGAGTTTTCAACCTGACAAGATAGGCAGAAAGCACAGAATCCAAGCCGCATAGTTCACCAAAATTCCTCAAGCTAGCAGCGGAACCCCCCCCGCAAGCCAAAGATTCCGAAAATGTCGGACAGATGGCACTGGGTGCGATGTATTTGTATTATGTTTTTCCCTCAGGGGCGGGTTCACACCCCGGTGCGATCCCTCCGACCCCCATGTGAAAGTGCGTTTTAATCAGTTCGTTCAGCGTTTTCAAAGCACTCCCATCACCGCAGCGGTGTTCCGGAGATTTCACAGCAAGAGAGAGGCGTCGGAGATTTCGCCCCTAGAAGCATTACCAAACACAAACGTCGCTTGTGCTCAGCCTTGACGTTCACCTTAACCATTGTTAACGATCTCGTCTGGAACGTTTGAAACCGACACATCGGGCACAGGCAGAGCACGGGCGAGAGCCCAGGGCCGGCAATCAAGATGTACCAGACCTCAACCCCGCTACGTAGAGAAACACGTGTCAGCCCATGTGCATCCTAATCTTCCCGAGCAAATTCTGGCACGTACATCGAGTTATCACACTGCCAGAGACAAAAGAGAAAGGGTCGCAGCACGCGTCGGCGGGTGTCCAACGTCAACCACCGAAACATTCGAACATCACTACTCTCTTCGCCGCGCTACTTGCTTTCTACATATCGGGCTCTATGTTTTTCCCTTGTAGGGTGGAAAGGGTTGGGTGAAAGGGGCGGGTGTGTGTGTGTCGCTAAGCGTCATGCGGTCTCCACGATCATCGCTCCTCGGCGGCAAACGTTGTGGCACGCCGCCGTCGTCATGTGTCCACCCCCAAGTCCCTGACGGTCTCGCCCACGGCCTTGAGGATGTCGTCCGGGCTGTGGTCCTCCAGGAAGGCCGGGGTCACCCGTATCTCGCCCACGTCGTTAGGCAAAGAGACCACACGGGGGTGAACACCCGCTTCCGGCGGTCGCTGACGCCCGGGATCAGCAGTAGCGCTCATCTCGCCCTCGGTGCGGAGGGGGGAGACGGCGCTGCAGCAGGACCACAGGCACCCGTTCTCTCACGCCTCGGAACTCACCTGAGGTTGAGGGTTTGTTGAGGTAATGGTTGGTCATTCGGTCGGCGGTTGTAGATTAGGGGGATGTGTCATGGTATGTGTCGCCGGGTGTGTTGAAGGCCGGAGGATCAAGACAGAAAACAAGCGAGGCCGGGGGGGAGGGGCAGTGTACAGTTAGCGCCCGCAATTAAGAAACGCTCATTTCACGTCCAGTCTCGAATTCGTATTGTGGGCTATGAACTCAGCGTATGTATGCCGTTCAATTTCTTATTATTATTATGTCAAGTTTTCTTATTTTTTCGTGCCGCCAAATCCTGCTGCATTTCTTAAATCGGCATTTTCTTGTTTTCTCTGTCTGCTCACGAGAGCTGGCGTCGCAGCCTGCCTGGTGTGCTGTGCCTGAGCCGGAGCGCCAGAGAGCGCCAGAGCCGGCAGGTGGCCGGAGGGAGCGCCGCCAAAAAAAAACACTCCCCCCTCGTCGTACAACTAACAAATAATGCACTTGGGAGGGGGGGGGTAGTGGGAGAGGGGGGAAAGAGCGAGAGATAGGAGGAGCTGTGGGGTGTTTCTTATTCGACCCACTCTCCCGTAACCCCTCGTTTCTTATGCAGTACGGCAGCGGTCACCGATCCGATGTTTCCTACTGAGACACTTCTTATTGTGTGACCCAGACTGAGCAATGTTTCTAAACCCTATTTTCTTATTTTTCGTGGAAAAGTGAGCCTCTAGACTATTTCTTAAAACAATATTTCTTAATAGCGGGCGCTAACTGTACTCATGTAAAGGCATGCCTTAGTCGTTAGACCATTGACCTCACATCCCTACAATGCCGGGACGGAGCGATGCTCCGGGTTTTCGCCGGTCCAGGCTACGTTTCACGAGGATGAACCAGAAACTGGTCGTCATCCTTGGGCTTGGTGTGCCAAACCAGACACGCAATGCGTTAATTTATGGGGCACCCCGGGTAACCAAACGTTTCACACTCGGCAAGCAAGCCTATACAGTAGGGGTCCCTGTATAGGCCGGTCGTCCTATTTGCGGCAGGTGAAATCGCTTGGCACAGATGGAATATTCAAGTTGTCTCATGCTCTGAGTAAGGCCTCTAATGTGCTTCACGTTGCAGGACGCAACGAGATGGGGAGAAATAAGCGAGTGTGCTTCACGTGTACATTGTTGTCCTTCACATATTCAGTAGTCTACCGGTGGAGCAAATATCATCGCCGATTGATTGGTGTTTCGTTGCTACAGTGCATGGTATTGCATCTTATTATATGCATAAAATCTGCTGAAGAATATGTAGACTTTGTGTTGGTGTTGTGTGAGGTAAGCGTAAGGCTGGATTCAAGCCACCCAAGAAGTTGCTCTTTACGACTCTCTTGTAGAAGCGTTGTATGTAGGTGTTGCCCATGATCTCTGCCAGAGGGTCATATCCGGGCCTGTTTGGGAGCGCATCACAGGTATATAGATGAAGCTGACATGCATCACACAGCGTGTGCGCGTGTCGGTGTGGTGAGACGAGAGGTGACCATCTGCGTTGAACAAATGATCTGGCTCGAAAACCCGTTTACCAAGAATTCACGTCAGACCGCGTGTCATCCATCAGCAACATTTCCCTCTCCGTTTGGCATGGTGTGGTTGCCCGAGCGGAGCATGTGAGAACGTAGGAGGTAAGGTATCTCGAACACGCATATTTCGACCAGTGCGACAATTTGTGACTTTGTGACTGCGTGCATGCGGGGGTGGGTGGATGCCATTGGGCCGTGGGCCGTCGGTGCCAGTGGGTGCGTGACATAGCAACGGCAAGCATAGAGTTCGCGGTTCGAAGCGGCTTC